ATTTAAAACATTGCCAGCTTTTGAGAATAATCTTTCGCACGGAACAGAAGTTGCTAATGCACAGCATTTTTGTTGCACTAACTGACTTAGAAACGGATAATTATATTAATTTTCTTTCCACCATTCAAGTGGATTTTTGTGTCGGTCTAGGACGTCGTCCTCTAAATACCTTTGAATTTCCATGATCGCTCTACTCGAGCTACTGGTAGACTTTGGTTTACACTTTGCTAATTGTTCATCTAAACATTTCCACAATGACGAAGTTGACAATGCTACTGCCTATGATATTTAAAATGACCGTACTAAGTTTTGCATTAGAAATGCTGTTTTATTACTCTCTCATACATAAAAATAGACTATAAGTTAGTCCAAATGTTAATATTAAACAAGTCATTTTTTTTACAATTTTGACCATTAAATCCTAATAAAGAAAAAATATGCTAGTAAAATGTGGTATTAATCAATGTTAAAGGATGATTTAATAAGAGATTTGAGTTCACCTTGTAAAATACAGAATTATATTATAAAAATTCTGCTTAAATCCGTGAAAATAATCCTGGCGCCGTTTCAAGAATTTTAAGAATTCAGTAATAGGTACATTATTTTATATTTATTAGTATGTTACTTTTAAAAAAAGCTTTTGAATAATATATTATTATACCAATAAATACTTGTTATTATCTATTTTATTACTTGATATAATATTTATTAAGTGTCTTTAAAAAATCACAGAAGATATATAAACAAAAAAGTAAAAAAAGTCAAGGGAAAAATACTAATAGTTTTTCCAGAGATTAAATAGTATTATAAAATCTATTTAAAATTATCTCATGTTTTATAATGAAAGAAGGGAACAAATTAACTTAACAGCACCAGAGAGCAAATGTAACCCTCTAGTTTTTAGGGTTACCATATTATTTAAATTTCTTCTTTTGTAAAATTATTGTTTTTGAGATATAACCCTCTTTTTCCAAATAAACGATATTTTTCAATAATTTTTATACCTGAATTTACTCAACTGATTTAATAAATTACGTCCAATTTTAAAAATTACTATATTATTGTATAATCTGGTGGTCACTTTTTTGGGTTAGCCCAAATAAAAATAAATAAAAAAATTTAAAAAATAAAATTCGTATGTGATATTTATCTTGAATTATGTTATTATTTCAAGAATGCATCATGAATTCTTACGTAATATAATTTCTTAATTCAAAGAAAACAACATTACCTACACCAATAATTAATTATTGCTAAGTGATGATTCATATTTTGATGGACCGTGCATTGTTTATGATTCGTCTAGATTTAGAAACGAGTCATGGGTATTTTAAAACACCAACACGAACAACTGACGATTTGTTACCGAATAGGATATAAAGGATTCAATATCTAAATATATACCTATAAAGGTGAACAAATTGATAAGGATATAACTGAATATTTACAATTTTGAAATTGAAAATAAACTAATTTTTTATATAAAAGAATGTAGGTATATATAGTTTGAAAATGAATGGTGGCTAAATTTGTATGGCCCAGAAGATAAATCCCACAATATAACATCGTGAATAAGTGCCTGAGAATTTCTATAATAAAATGTTTAGCATTATTTATAGGTTTTCTACCTAAAATTTTAAAATATACATATTTCAGTTCTTGTCTTATATTTTCTATATAGAATTGCAAACAACACGGAATTTTAATATGGTAAAAGGCCAGCAATTCCCCGTTAACTTCCCATCAATAGGCCATTAATTACCAATAAAAACATACCACATATTGAAGTTACAATTTTTAAATAGTTTTTTCCATATAAATTTAAAACCACATATGCGATTTTGCTGAAATTTAGTATATGGGTAGAGTTTTATGTGGCAAAAAAAATGGTATTAAAATTTTGTCCGATAATAATACATAGGCGTAGAACTTGATTTTTTAAATAATTGCACCTTTAAAAATTCTACGCCAATGGAAGAAAAGGAGTTTGAGTATGAAATTTAGATTGCGCAACTCATTTACTTTAAAAAAGGTGCTCTTGATAAGACTCGATTACTCTCATGGTTTTGACGAAATTTGCATTTTAGTAATTTTAGAACATAAACAATAATTATTAAAATACAAACTTTGTCAAAACCATGAGAGTAAATCGAGTGTTATCAAGGGTACTTTTTTGTAGTAAATGAGTACCCAATCCAAATTTCATACTCAAACCCCTTTTTTGCCATTGGCGTAGAATTTTTAAAGGTGCAATTATTTAAATATCAAGTTCTACGCCTATGTATTATTATCGGACAAAATTTTATACGATGAAAAACATAAAAATGTACTTTTTTCATATCTTCTTCAACACCTCTAATCGAGACTTTTAACAAAAATACTCGATTCTTGCCATGTACGATTTTTTGAGGAATATTAATTATTTGCCTGCAATACGTATACAAAAACATTTATTGTTGGTTTCCATAGAAAAATCATGAAAAATGTCGAAAAACGTTTAAAAAAAGTTTAAAAACGTTAAAAAAAGACGTTGAAAAAGGTCAAAAAACGTCTAAAAATTATATAAAAAACGTTAAAAACATTGAAAATTTCGAAAAACGTCTAAAAATGTTATAAAAGACGTTGAAAACATTGAGAAACGTTGAAAAATGTCTAAAATCGTGGAAAAACGTCGAAAAGCGTCTAAAATTGTTATAAAAAAATTTTGAAAACGTCGATAAACTTCTAAAAATGTTATAAAAAAAAAATGTTTAAAAACGTTGAAAACCGTCAAAAAAAAACGTTCTAAAACATCAAAAAACTTCTAAAAATGATATAAAACCGTTGAAAAACATTGGAAATTTCGAAAAATGTCTAAAAATGTTATAAAAGACGTTTAAAACATTGAGAAACGTTGAAAAACGTCTAAAACCGTTAAAAAAATACAGATAGGAAAGTAAAAACGTTGAAAAAGGTTGAAAAACGCCGAAAACCGTTGAAAAACGTGAAAAATACTTGAAAAACGTCTAAAAACGTTTAAAAAACCGTTGAAAATGTCTAAAACCGTTGAAGAACGTCGAAAAGCGTCTAATATTGTTATAAAAAAATGTTGAAAAACGTCGAAAACCGTTAAAAAAAAAAAACGTTGTAAAACGTCAAAAAACTTCTAAAAATGATATAAAACCGCTGAAAAACATTGGAAATGTCAAAAAAAACGTCTAAAAATTTTATAAAAGACGTTGAAAACATTGAGAAACGTCGAAAAACGTCTAAAACCGTTAAAAAACGTTGAAAACCCTTGAAAAACGTTTAAAAGTTTAAAAACGTTAAAAAAAAGACTTTGAAAAGGGTCAAAAAACGTCTAAAAATTATATAAAAACGTTAAAAAACATTGGAAATTTCGAAAAATGTCTAAAAATGTTATAAAAGACGTTGAAAACATTGAGAAACGATGAAAAATGTCTAAAACCGTTAAAAAAATACAGATAGGAAAGTAAAAACGTTGAAAAATGTTGGAAAACGCCTAAAACCGTTAAAAAACGTGAAAAAAACTTGAAAAACGTCTAAAAACGTTTTAAAAAACGTTGAAAAACGTCGAAAATGTCTAAAACCGTTGAAGAACGTCGAAAAGCGTCTAAAATTGTTATAAAACAAAAAATTGAAAACGTCGATAAACGTGTAAAAATGTTATAAAAAAAAATGTTGAGAAATGTCGAAAACCGTTAAAAAAACGTTGTAAAACGTCAAAAAAACTTCTAAAAATGATATAAAACCGTTGAAAAACATTGGAAATGTCGAAAAACGTCTAAATTTTTTATAAAAGACGTTGAAAACATTGAGAAACGTCGAAAAACGTCTAAAACCGTTAAAAAACCTTGAAAAACGTTTAAAAAGTTTAAAAACGTTAAAAAAAAGACGTTGAAAAAGGTCAAAAAACGTCTAAAAATTATATAAAAACGTTAAAGAACATTGGAAATTTCTAAAAATGTCTAAAAATGTTATAAAAGACGTTGAAAACATTGTGAAACGTTGAAAAACGTCTAAAAACGTTTTAAAAACGTTGAAAAACGTGGAAAATGTCTAAAATCTTTGAAAAACGTCGAAAAGCGTCTAAAAATTATAAAAAAAATGTTGAAAAACGTCGAAAACCATTTAAAAAAAAACGTTGTAAAACGTCAAAAAATTTCTAAAAATGATATAAAACAGTTGAAAAACATTAGAAATGTCGAAAAACGTCTAGAAATTTTATAAGACGTTGAAAACCCCCGAAAAACCCTGAAAAACGTCAAAAAACGTTTAAAATTTATATAAAAAAACGTTAAAAAACATTGGAAATGTCGAAAAACGTCTAAAAATATTATAAAAGACGTTGAAAACATTGAGAAACGTTGAAAAACGTCTAAAATCGTTAAAAAAACGTTGAAAAACGTCTAAAAATGTTATACTAAGGATAGGAAAGTAAAAATCAAAGGGGTTTAAATTTTGAAATATTAAAAAGAAAATAAATGCATTCCTCAACAGCACTATTTGTAATATAATCCAAAAATTTAAGCTCTTACCGTCTTGTCAATTATTCGCTAAAGAAAAAAAGATTAAGTACAGCTGCATTAAATACTCAAATTTGGGGATTATATTAAAAATAGTGCTGTCAAGAAATGCATTTATTTTCATTATGATATTTTGAAGTTTAATGCTTCATTTTTTTTTCTCGGAATTTTTTTATTTTGACAAAATTTTTATTTTTCAACAAAATTACTTTTTTAAATATCCTTGTCCGAAATTTATAAGAAATTATGTAGAAACCCGGGTGGAATATTTAAAAACAACTAAAAAAAATCTAAACGTAGTTTTGGGCTAAATTTTAATACGCGATAACGTCTGTTGGTGTCATAACGTGTGAGAAAACCCAGAAAAACAGATTGGGCCATTAAAAAACAGTAAAATCAATTACCAAAAACAATAAAACACATAAATAACAGATCTCGCGCACCTCAGACTCCCGACAACTCCGTAAAAATCCCAGGAATTTCAAGAATGCAGATATCCGACTATCTTAACATATATTATTTACAAAATTTCGAACAAAACAACAACAAAAAAACGCCACACTTGATTTATACATCTATAACAAAAAAACGGAGACTCGAAACCTCATCTTTGGAATCTCCAACGATCATCCGGTTCGACGTGACGTCACGAAACTTCTATAAAACAATCAAGCAGGCCAGGTTCCGAAACAAACACACAACCGCTGCTCGTAGTGAAAGCTTACTTGATCGAAGTAAACGTAATTCAGTTGTTTTTTATTTTGCGAATTTAGAAAGTGATAATGTTCGGAAAAATGTACGGTTTTGGACTAATTTTGAGTGTTTTTGTGCTAATTGGACAATCGAATGGATCTGCTATACCGATGTGGGAGTATCTCAGTAAACAGGAAAAAGTAAGTCTAAATTTTGTTTATATAAGTTTAAAAATCTGATGTGTCCAACACATGACTTTCCTATACAGGCTTTTTCCGGTTATTTTGTACAACCTATTGCAGCACCTCCATAAATGTTTAGAGGATAAACTAAATATATACATTTTCCACATACATTTACATCGAAACATTTTTCTATAGATATTCATTGAAAATGAAAATACTGAAAAATTTAAATTTTGCACTTTTCCTACAATTTTTCCATTACGGTCCATTTTAGAAAAATCATGTATAAACAAAAATTATAGAGATTAATATCGCAAACAACTTTTATTTCAACAATTTTGATAAAAATCAGAATTTTGCCCATTTTGTCAAATTTCTCGAATACGGACCATTTCAGGAAATTTTGACAAAAAGCAAAAATTATAGATAATAATATTAGAAATAACGCTGCATAAACGTAGAAAAAAATAGAAGGGACTAATCGCTAATTAAGGTCAAATTACTTAATACTTGAATAAAATTTTGAAAAAATATTGGCAAAAATACTAAAAAAGTTAGTAGAAAAGAAAGAGAAAAAGTTAAGAGAACAATAACAAAGTATGTAGAAAATTATTCCCCTAACTTTTTGAATAAAAAAGTTTGTAGAAACATGTAAACGTAAGCTCACAAAGCGACGACGGCGACGATGAGGATCAAAATTATTTTAGATTTCTTGTAGATATCATGAAAAAAAAAAAATGAAATTTTTTCACATTTGTCAAGATAAAAATTCTTTATATTATTTGTCTATTTTCACTTTAATCTTCTACTGTCTACATACAAATTACGATCGAAAAAGATTACGTAAAATATATTATAAATTATCCATCGTTAATATTGCCATATAAAGGTAAAAAATCTGATGTGTCCAACACATGACTTTCCTATCTAGTTAACCTATTGCAGCATCTCTAAAAATGTTTAGAGGATAAACTAAATATATACATTTTCCACATACATCCACCTCCAAACATATTTCTATAGATATTCATTGAAAACGAAAATACTGAAAAATTTAAATTTAACACTTTTCCTCCAATTTTTCCATTACGGTCCATTTTAGAAAAATCATGAAAAAACAAAAATTATAGAGATCGATATCGCAAACAACTTTTAGTTTAACAATTTTCTTAAAAAACAGAATTTTGCACATTTTGTCAAATTTCTCGAATACGGACCATTTCAGGAAAATTTGACATAGAACAAAAATTATAGATAATAATATTGTAAGTAACTTTTATTTGAAGAATTTTCTTCCCCAAATGTAAATAACGAATATATTCCATAAAATATAAAAATGACCACCAATAAAGTACCCCCCCCCCCCCGAATGTTCCGACTCTGTCCAAACCCTAATCAGTTCACCTCAGGTCGAAATAAAACTTAAGTTTAAAATTTAATGTTTTTTCCTTTATCCGTTTTTGAGTTTTCTTCAAAATTCGAAATTTACACATTTTCTCAAATATCTCGAATACGGTCCATTTTAGAGAAATTATGTATAGAATAAAAATTATAAAGAATTATATTACAAACAACTTTTATTTGAACAATTTTTATAAAAAATTATTTTTTTACATTTTGTCAAATTTCTCGAATACGGACCATTTTAGGAAAATTTTGCATCAAACAAAAATTATAGATAATTATATTAGAAGTAACTTTTATTTGAAGAATTTTCTTCTCCAAACGTAAATAACAGATATATTCCATAAAATATAAAAATGACCACCTATAAAGTACCCCCCCAGATGTTCCGACTCTGTCCAAAATCTAATCAGCTCATTGGACGCTAGAACAAAGCTTAAGTTTAAAATTTGGTGTTTTTCTGTGTATCGGTTCATGAGTTATGCGTTATACAGACACACACACAGACACACACACACACACAGACAGACATCATCGCGAAAATAGTCAAAACGGATTCAGGGGACCTCAAAACGTAAAAATCCGTCTAAAACTCGAGGTCGAAAAAAATCATGATTCCTATACTTTCCTTATATCTGTATACAGATAGGAAAGTAAAAAACTTTATTTGGACATTACAAATTGAATTTGCGGATTTTTTTCATAGATACCGTCACAAATTTAGACTGAAGTACATCATTATTAATAAAAAAACAAAAATCATTCAGTAGAGGTATATTTATATAAAAAAATCTGAGGAATTAGTTAGAATTAGTTAACAAATGCTTTTTGGATCAAACTTTTTTTTTGCCTCCGAAAATATGAATATAGAAGAGTATATCACTCATTTTAAAAATTATAAATAATTAACTCAAAAAAAATAGGGTTTGTTTTTTTGCAAATATCTAAAAAACTGTTTGACATTTTTCAAATTTGAAAAAAGATTTAAAAAGAGAAGGAAATTTCCCACCAAAAAGTCCTTACTCCCGTAGCTTTAGGAGCAATATTTATAAATTTGGAGATGGAGAAACAAATTTGTCCCAAAAGCACTTGTTAACTATTTAAAATAATTAAAAAATATTAAATGTGGAGTCAACAATTCAATTTTGTAATGTTACATAATTTTTTTAATTAATAATAGAAATACAATTCGTTTTTCAAATCAAATCAAATATTTATTAAAGTTTTTCTAAATGTTCCGAATAAATAAAATTTATTTTTGGAATTAATGTCAGTCTCGTAATACTTTTGAAGAGAATTTAAATATTTTTATGAAGTATAAACACAATTTTTTATTATTAACATAATTTTATTTAAATTTGAAATTATATATACAGGGTGGCGCATCCTATACGCGTCGATCTCTGTAGGGAAAAGGACTTAAAATTTGAATTATTTTTTTAATACGGGGCCATTAACACTACAAATTAAACATAATTTGGATTATACAGGGTGGCCCAGAAATATAAATTTATATTAAAGATATTTTTTTAAAGGGAACATCATATATTCTTTTGATCAGTATTTTTAGACGCTGGCGAATATCCTACAGTGTGAAAAATTAATAATAATAAAAAGACACTTATTTGAATGTTATTAGAAGAGGATTTCAATTAATTTTAATAAAAAGTCATCTTAAAGATAATTAATCGAAATTTATAGAAGTTTTTCGTATTTCACGATATCAGTAAAATTTCCAAAATTTTTGCGGAGAAAATTATCTAGGATCCTTGATAATGTACCTTTAAATACTAGGCAGAAAATGTGGATACATTTTCAACTTCGAGTACGGCAATACTTAAACCGGCATTTTGTTAATAAATGAATCGGAAGAGGTGGTCCACATAATTGGCCTCCAAGATCTCCAGACTTGAAGTAATATCCCACCAACTATTACAGAAGATATGAAAGCTAGAATAAGAGCTGCTTTTCAGACAGTAACTGGAGAAATCAAAAGACAGTCACAAAACATAACTTTGATATAAATTCCTATTTTTGGGTCACCCTGTATAATCCAAATTATTTTTAGTTTGTAGTGTATATCCCTATTGAGAAATATTAAGAAAAAAATTTAAAATTTTAAGTCGTTTACCCTACAGAGACTGAGACGTATAGGATGTAATTTAGATCAAAAGTTATACAGGGTGTTTCGTTGGTAAAGGGACTCCTTTTAACCATGGATGGAGACCACCGAGGTGCTTCCAAATAACCCATACTTAATGGATCTTTCGACCTTTATAGCCGAGATACAGGGTGTTTTATCAATTTGGCCTATGTCTTTCCAGACTCATAACTTATTAACCACCCTGTATCTCGGCTATAAAGGTCGAAAGACCCATTAAGTATGGGTTATTTGGAAGTACCTCGGTGGTCTCCATCCATGGTTCAATGAAACACCCTGTATAACCATAAACATTTTTAGATGTGGAATAATAGAATTGTGTAAATGATATATAGATAATAAAAATCATAAGAACTTCACAGTAAAAAATTTGTAGTAGTATAACTGAACATTAATATATTTAGAAGACGCAACTTTATACTCAACTGACTTGATATAAACAATATTTAAAATATTTTATATAATTCTATTTCAAGGTTAATTTAAAAAATTTCCAGGAAGACTAGAATCTAGGCCTTTAAATTTGAAGTGCAACATTCATTTAAAGCAGAAACCTTTGATAATAGCATTGGATTAGATCATTAAAACATTGTCGACCATGCTTTCAATTCGCAAACTATTTTAAAATGTCAGCCAACAAGGTCAACTACATCATTTAATTCATTTACATCTTTGCAAAAATGTATGTATAACAAATCATATCAAACTGATATTTTATTGGTGCAAATTCCAGAGTCAAACCATTTTGCATACTCAAGTAATGTATTCATGTAAGAAAAAATTACTTTATAGTTAAAAAAACATTGTTCCCGTTAAATGGAACATACCCATTGCATTCTATAAGTTGTTTTTTTAATATATTATGTAATGTGGTAATAAATGATATAATTCTGAATTACTTAACAATTTATTACTTTATTGATAAGTATATGTTATACCAGTTGATTTTTAATTGTTAACTGTTTCTTATAAAAAATACAAATTATACCATTACTGGTTTAAAAGGTCATATTGAAAGGCTATTGCCATATATTATTAAATACATTTATAAGGTTATAGATCTTTCACATTCAGAATAACTGTTGCCCTGTCTTAACTATGAATATTGATTTCTATATATATATATATATAGAAATTTTCTAATTGTCCGCGCAATTTTCTTAACTTTTTCTTTCATAAGAACCTTCTCCTAACAATAACAAACACAACAAAAAAAGAATTAGCAAAATTGATCCAACCGTTCACGCGTGATCGTGACCAAAGGAAATAGGGATTCATTTTTATAAAAAAAAAAAAAAAAAAAAAAAAAAAAAAAAAAAAAAAAAAAAAACTAACCAATTATTTGGGAATTCAGCAAATAATATGTGAAAGAAAACTCTTCAGCCAAGCTTTATATATATGGGAAAAATAAAAGGGCTGTTTTTAGGGTTTTCCTGGAAATTATTAGAATTTTCCTCGCCGTAAAAACCATCTTTGGACTTCAACGAACATTTAAAAAAAAAAAAAGAATTGGTAAAATTGGTTCAGGCGTTGTTGAATTATGCGCTTACCAACACATTTTGCGATTCATTTTTATATTATAGATTAAACTAGTAAACTTACTTGAACATTTATTAATCCATTCTTGACCCTTGACAGTTCTTTATTATATTACTAGACCCTATTGAACAATTTATTAACAATCATATAAATATTATCGTGTTCTAATTTATTATTTTTTACTTTACAGACTTCATTCCTTTATTCAGTGTTTGCCACCCAAGTTGAACATTTCTGTGACGAATCAACTTTGGACAATTGCAATCAACAATTACTGAGATACGGCTTGAACAAACTCAAAAGCTTACCCGAAGAATATTTAGATTCTATGGACCCTTACCAAAGAGGAGCAAATCAATTAAGTAAGTATTCATATTTAAAAATAATAAAAACATACTCCTAGTGCTGTAGAAGTGGGGATATAACGTCCCACCGACTTTACCACATCCCTGTGGTAAAGAATCATACAAATCAGACAAGTTAGTAAAGTATTATCACTAAAAATACATAAAAAATTAATATTTGGACGATTTTCTTATAGATACAATTATTAGATTTTGCTCAAATTTATACGGTACCACCCTCGAAGTACCCCCTTTCCAACAAAAAAAGAATCATTAAAATCGAAAACCAAATTAAAGAATTATCGCTGAACATACATACGAAAAATATTCCTACGAATTGAGAATCTCCTCCATCTGCGCATGATCAGATGTCAAAATAAGAGCGTCGCTAATAGTGACTAATCTTAAGTAAACTTGCAATATCCCTCTAACTGTAATTAGCGTTCAAAAATCGTCATAAAAAAATCAACCTGTAGAGTACTATTAGATACTGGTAGTCGAACTAATTTTCTAGCTGATAAATTCCATTTCTAACATTATTTTTTATTATTTCAGTTTGGGATTCAATGATGGCCGGTCATCCTTTGGCAAAATCACTGTTGAAGCCTCGTTCAACAACCACAGCCAAGCCGAATAGTTACGAAGCCGAACCATTCGGTGATTTTGAGCTTGGTTCTCATGGATCTGCATCGGCGAAAATTGACAACATTGTAATAGTACCAGCTCCGAAAGAAATCGTGGAACAATACAAGGCTCAAACGCAATATACTTATCCCCAAAATATTGTTAGTTACTTGAATGCTATTGGTACACAGAAAAAAGGACCTTACAGAAGATTCCAGGAGCAGTATCCTACTAGTACCACTGCTAGGATTACTACTGAAGCTCCTGTAGATCCTATGGACGAAGGAATGTACCAGGATGCTCCTTTGACAGGACCGATGGTAGTTAGGGTGTACCCTGATGGTACTCCCGTAAAAGATTCAATGCCACTTCCTCAAGATGACGACTTAAGACAGTATCAAATGTCTCAAGTCAAAATTCCCAATTTCTAGCTTCTGTAATCGAAGCTCGTCTTGAAAATTGTGATATTTCTTGTAAATAATTTATTACTGTATGTGTAAATGTTTTTTTATTTATTGAATGTATGTTTGTATTTATTTTATTTTGTAGTGTTTATGATTTGTACATGAACGTTTGATCACAAGTACTGTGATTTTTGCTTAGTATCCAGTTTGTTCTGGACGTTACTCTTAAGTTGTGATTTTTATTTGTAAATAAATATTTAGTTGTGAAATTAAGTGAAGAATTTTATTTAAACCTTAAAGAGCTTACATACAGAATTAATGCTTTAGAAAAGAAAAAACTTTGAAACATATACACTAGCTCAAGACGAATTAGACTGTTTCTATTATAGATTCCCTCTCAAGCCTTAATATGACTATTTAAACTATTTAACTCTTTTTTAATATAAATTTTAGTAAGTAAATTAATTTTTTTACGAAACAAAATTGAAACTAAAAACAGCAGTCCCATAACAATCAAAATGCTTTTGGACAATGGTAGTCAAACCTCATCACAAAATCTTAAGCTTTTCATATCGGATAGTAGGGAGGAAATGGGAAATGCATTGCGATGGGGCATCGAAAGGATACGATGGGGGATCAGAAGGATGTGCAGATGAAAGCAAGATTACTTAGTCGGTTTTGCCACATAGTCGATCATAAATTTTTATTATTTTGAGTTTTGAAAAAGATCGTTCTGCGGTAGCAACCGAAATTGGCATTGTTAATAAAATACGAAGTATTATGCTCGTATTAGGAAAAGAATCCACTAAGTTGTTAATTGTTATGTAATTTAAAGTTTCTTATGGAGACAATAACTTTTTCAGCCAATTTTTTTACCTTATTTTCAAAGTTTCCTTCACTTATTTCAAACAGAACATCATGAACCTCCCTAAGTTGATATCCTAAAGATGTTATTACATATATTCTACTAGACCATCGAGTCACTAGCGCTTTCAACGATACCTGTCTCTTAATAGCAAGGAATTCTATTAGGAAAGTTTCATAGTGGAATGATGACCTTGCTATACTAAGGAAACAGGTGAGACAAAAATTTAATAAGGCTAAAATAACCTACGAATGGGAATTATATAGAACCATACGCACCTGTTACAACATAGTCTTACGAAAAGTCAAGAGAGAGTCTGTGAGGAGATAGAATAGGAAACGGCAAAGTCCCTAAGACCAATAACTCTTATTTCCTTTGTATTTAAGACTATTTAAGACTAGATAGGCATATTACAAACGGTATATTGGTTCAAATGCCAATATACCAAGACCAATACACCTATAATGCAGGGAAATGTTACTTCCCAACCCCTCTGGCAAAATAAGAGCCAGTGATGAACGAATATTATTAAATGAACCATACTTAAAAGACTTTTTTTTTGATAAATGACCTGCAAAAATGAAATCACATCCGTTGCTGAGGCTTCAAATTTTCTGATTTCATGCTCATTACAATAAGTCCACCATAACTTATAAGCTGTGTTATATTGGTTCTTTGTCGAATCAGAGAGAGAATCTAAAAGAATAACGCAATTTTCCGGGATTTTCTTAATTAGGAGGGCTTTCCTGAGAGTTTCCTCACCACCGGGGTAAGATTCTTTACAGGAAATGATTTTCTGAAAGGACAAAATATTAATTTTGAATTGGAGTCGAGATTTAGTGGTTCCTCTATCAATAATTTTTTAAAAATGGTGTACTAAGCCTGATAAGGCCAATATGGTACGACCATCAATTAATAGAAGGGGTAGAGAATACACTGGAAAACAAGGAGGTAATACTGGGAGCATTCTTGGATATCGAGGGTGCATTTGAAAATACCTACGTGCGTGTCCTCGATCGACTCTATGTTAAGGAAGATAACTATACACACAGGGGTAGCGAGGGGATGTCCGCAGGGTGGAGTGCTGTCTTCACTCCTGTGGAACTTTGCAGTGAACGGGCTGCTTAGGGCTCTCAAAGATAAGAGACATAGAACCCTGGGATATACCGATGATCTAGTGATCATGGCACAGGGAAAATACAACAATATAGTAAGAGATCGAATGCAAGAGTCTAAATATAGTAACAAAATGGACTAAACATATTGTAACATCGAAATCGATTAATCGAACATTCGATTGTTTTCTTTCGATTGTCGATATTTTTTAAATTGGAATAAATTGAAATAAACTGGAATAAATTGGAATAAATTGGAATAAATTGGAATAAATTGGAATAAATTGGAATAAATTGGAATAAATTGGAATAAATTGGAATAAATTGGAATAAATTGGAATAAATTGGAATAAATTGGAATAAATTGGAATAAATTGGAATAAATTGGAATAAATTGGAATAAATTGGAATAAATTGGAATAAATTGGAATAAATTGGAATAAATTGGAATAAATTGGAATAAATTGGAATAAATTGGAATAAATTGGAATAAATTGGAATAAATTGGAATAAATTGGAATAAATTTGAATAAATTTGAATAAATTTGAATAAATTGGAATAAATTGGAATAAACTGGAATAAATTGAACTAAATTGGAATAAATTGGAATAAATTTGAATAAATTGGAATAAATTGGAATAAATTGGAATAAATTTGAATAAATTTGAATAAATTTGAATAAATTTGAATAAATTTGAATAAATTTGAATAAATTTGAATAAATTTGAATAAATTGGAACAAATTGGAATAAATTGGAATTGGAATAAATTGAAATAAATTGAAATAAATTGGAATAAATTGGAATAAATTGGAACAAATTGGAACAAATTGGAACAAATTGGAATAAATTGGAATAAATTGGAACAAATTGGAACAAAATTATTCCCTAACTATTCCAAAAAATTAAAAATGCACAACGTTAATAATTTAATTTACTCTTATATATATTTTACTTACATACTGGTCTAAAGTAGTGTATCAATTTAAATTTATATACCGATTTAGTCATATACATATATTTATAGATTTGGACATGCATACCGATTTAGACATTCATACCGATTTAGACATTTATTTATACCGATTTATTTATATTTACGTAATTAATTACCATTATTATTTCGTGCCACGCACAAGTAGAATTTTTAAAATTCTCCTTCTGTGGCTTTGTCTTTTGTTTGTTAGAAAATTATTATTGACTCTTAGTTGTAAATTTCTGTATTTTTTTTTTGGCTAATAAACACATTATTATTATTATTATTATTAATATTAAAGTTTTCACTTCTGCCGGCACTCCCAGAGTGCAACCCGTGTTTTTTTTTGTGTAGTGCAAACCTACAATACTGGCTGTATTCAACTTATTAAGCTGATTTGACTTGAGCAAATTTACTTGAGAAATTATCTTTTGTACCCCAGGTTCATCCAACAACGTATAGAACCCACTCAACCAAGGATCTGTACAAACTTGGTTTAGTAGAAGCTGAAAAAAATACAAGCATGTTTCGAAAATCTTAAACAAACATTGACCTTTTTTTAATGTTTTTTTTAACGTTTTTCAAGGATTTTCGAAGTTTTTCAACGTTTTTCGACATTTCCAATGTTTTTTGACATTTTCAACGTTTTTTTTACGTTTTCTAACGTTTTTTTTTAACATTTTTTAACGGTTTTAGACGTTTTATGAGGTTTCTCAATATTTTCAACGTCTCTTATAACATTTTTAGACGTTTTTCGACATTTCAAATGTTTTTTTATATAATTTTTTGACGTTTTTCAACGTTTTTTTTTTACGTTTTTCGACGTTTTTCAAAGTTTTTAACGGTTTTAGATGTTTCTCAATGTTTTCAACGTTTTTTATATCATTTTTAGACCTTTTTTTAATGTTTTTTTAACGTTTTTCAAGGATTTTCGAAGTTTTTCAACGTTGTTTAACGGTTTTAGACGTTTTTTGATATTTCTCAATGTTTTCAACGTCTTTTTAACATTTTTAGACATTTTTCGACATTTTCAATGTTTTTCAACGTTTTTTACATCATTTTTAGAAGTTTTTTTAAACGTTTTTCACCGTTTTCTTAATGGTTTTCAACGTTTTTTAACATTTTTTTATAACATTTTTAGACGTTTATCGACGTTTTCCAATTTTTTAACATTTTTAGATGCTTTTCAAGGTTTTTCCACGTTTTCGACGTTTTTCAACGGTTTTCGACGTTTCAAGAATCATTTTTTTCTACCTCCAGTTTACTGTACTCAACCTTTTTTTTTCTTTGGCTAATAAACAAGACATTAAGAGCCTAAATTTTGGATTATATTACAAATAGTGCTGTTGAGGAATGCATTTATTATCACTATGATATTTCAAAATTTAAACCCTTTTGATTTTTACTTTCCTATCCTTTATATAACATTTTTAGACGTTTTTCAAGGTTTTTCGAGATTTTTTAACTGTTTTAGACGTTTTTCGACGTTTGTCAATGTTTTCAACGCCTTTTATAACATTTTTAGACGTTTTTCGACATTTCCAATGTTTTTCAACGTTTTTTAATCATTTTTAGACGTTTTTTAACGTTTTTCGACGTTTTTAAAGGTTTTTTCGAGGGTTTTCAACGTTTTTTAACGGTTTTAGACGTTTCTCAATGTTTTCAACGTCTTTTATAACATTTTTAGACTTTTTTCAAAATTTTCAATGTTTTTCAACGTTTTTTATATCATTTTTAGAACTTTTTCGACGTTTTTCAACGGTTTTTATAACGTTTTAAACGTTTTTCAAGCGTTTCCACGTTTTTCGACGTATTTAGAATCTTTTTTGTAGTTTTTCAACGTTTTTTTTTTACGGTTTTAGACTTTTTTCGACGTTTTCAACGGGTTTTTTTATAACGTTATCAAACGTTTTTCAAGCTTTTTCCACGTTTTTCGACGTTTTTACTTTTCTATCTGTATACAGATAAAGAAATATAGACATCATGATTTTTTTCGACCTCCAGTTTTCGACGGATTTTTACGTTTTGGGGTCCCCTGAATCCGTCTGTGCCTGTCTGTATGTGTCTGTCTGTATGTGTCTGTCTGTATGTGTCTGTCTGCGTCTGTCCGTGTCTCTCTGTGTTTGTCTGTGTCTGGCTGTGTCTGGCTGTGTCTGTCTGTGTCTGTCTGTCTGTGTCTGTCTGTGTCTGTATCTTCCAGAAAGGTCAAGGATCATGGGATGATGAGATGTGACACCCAGAGAGCAAAGGGTAGTTATGGCCGACCAACAGAGAAGACCAAAGAAGACGCAACTTCTGCAGTGAAGCTAGCGCAAGGTTACCATATTATTGTAATTATTTTGGAAAATTTTTGTAAATTATTTACATTAAGGGTTTTAAAAAGAATTGAACAAGTAGTTCCAAGTAGTAGTTGCTGTTTTGACGTTTAGAGAGTAAGTAAGTCTTATTATTTTAAATGAAAACTCAATAATTTATATATCCCAACTTTCGTTCTTTAGATTTATCAATTCAAAAAGTTAGAAGGTATAGTGGACTGTATATTAATTAAAAAACAATCTATAATAAGATATATCACACTTTATTCTTAAAACATTTATACATATAAACATTTAAGTTTTACTTAAAAAGTGGTTCAGAAGCCCTGAGAAATTCCTCATGAAACTTCTGATTACTAAACCTTTCAGTAGAAGCTCTGGCTTTATCTCGAATTTCACTAATTTCCCCTTGATCTAAATGTAAAATAAATTTAATAATGTGCGCGAATTCATCAGGAGTTTGCGCTAAAAATCCCAGTCGCGATCCTTCCGAAGTTTCAATAATATCTAACAAAGGACCTCCAGAACGATGCGCTACCATTATAAGTCCAGCCGCCATTTGCTCGACGACGCTGATACCGAAATGTTCATCTAACATCGTATGGATACCTATGTAAGAATTTTTAAATTCTTCAAATAACTCTCTATAAGACATGTTGACTTTGAATTCCACGTTGTTTTCAAGACTTAAATGTTTACTAAAGTCTTTTAAATCTTTTACTCTTCTACTGTCATCGGTATTTCTACAACTCCCACATAACACTAATGTTATATTACTAAACATTTCTTCAGAAACTATTTCCCTAAGCTCATACAACGATTGTAGTTGTAGTGGATGATCTTTTTCAGGTCTAAATTGTGCTAAAGACATAATCCTAATGTTTTTAGGACGCGTTGAGTCCTTCTCAATGCTTTTCAATTGGTCCGTTTCGCAAGGTGGATAAACTAGATGAAGATTGCGATTCCAAAGAGTATTCAGATGTTCCAGAGTAAAAGTAGAATTGACTAGAGTTATATCGGAACTTTGGCCTGCCAAGGAATAAGCCTAAAAAACGTTTGTAATATTTTAGGCGAAAGAAAGGCGAAAAGGAAGGAAGAAGAGGACAAAGAAAGGGGCAGGAAGGACGAGGAACAAGAGGAGGAGAAACGTAACAAAACAAATTATGAATGGTTTGCTATACATTCAAAAAAACTTCAAACAAGATATAAGTCAGCTTAACATTCAAGTAGATCTCTTAGCACAACAACAAGACAATTTAAAAATCAATTTAGAACAGCAAGAGAATTTAAAAACTAATCTAGAAGAACAACAAGAAAATTTAACAGCTAATTTAGAACAACAAGAAAAGGCTTAGAGTAGAAATCAAATTAGAAGTTCAACGAGAAATAATTACAGCAGATATGCCTGCTGTAAAGAATTATCGTTAAATATACATACAAAATAAAGAGTTTGAGGATTTTCTCATGGACCCAATTATTAGATTTTGACCAAATTTATATGGGACCACCTCTGAAGTACCCCCTTTCTAACAAAAAAAGAATCATATAAATCGGACAAGATGGTAAAGAATTATCCCTACACATACACAAAAAATTAAGAGTTTGAGGATTTTCTTATGGACCCAATTATTAGATTTTGACCAAATTTACATGGAACCATCCCTAAAGTACCTTCTTTCTAACAAAAAAAGAATCATTGAAATCAGACACCGAGTTAAAGAATTATCGCTGAACATACATTAAAAAAACTATTACGACGAATTGAGAACCTCCTCCTTTTTTGAAGTCAATAAAGGACTGTAGGTCAACCATTTGAAATTAGTTGGGATCATAAATGCAAAACAATAAAAATATTAGCATGATATTTATCGCTTAATGTTAATGTTTTCGTGCATTTTGCTCAAAATTTTAAAAACAAATAGCCACAGTTTTTTAACTGTTTTAGAAGTTTTTCGACGTTTCTCAATATTTTCAACGTCTTTTATAACATTTTTAGACGTTTTTCGACATTTCCAATGTTTTTATATCATTTTTAGAAGTTTTTTTGACAATTTTCAACGTTTTTCAAAGTTTTTAAACGTTTTTAACGGTTTTAGACGTTTCTTAATGTTTTCAACGTCTTTTATAAAATTTTCAGACGTTTTTCGACATTTTCCATGTTTTTCAACGTTTTTTATATCATATTTAGACCTTTTTTTTAATGTTTTTTAACGTTTTTTAAGGATTTTCGAAGTTTTTCAACGTTTTTTAACGGTTTTAGAAGTTTTTTGATATTTCTCAATGTTTTCAACGTCTTTTTAACATTTTTAGACGTTTTTCGACATTTCCAATGTTTTTATATCATTTTTAGAAGTTTTTTTGACAATTTTCAAGGTTTTTCAAAGTTTTTAAACGTTTTTAACGGTTTTAGACGTTTCTCAATGTTTTCAACGTCTTTTATAAAATTTTCAGACGTTTTTCGACATTTTCCATGTTTTTCAACGTTTTTTTATATCATATTTAGACCTTTTTTTAATGTTTTTTTAACGTTTTTTAAGGATTTTCGAAGTTTTTCAACGTTTTTTAACGGTTTTAGAAGTTTTTTGATATTTCTCAATGTTTTCAACGTCTTTTTAACATTTTTAGACGTTTTTCGACATTTCCAATGTTTTTATATAATTTTTAGAAGTTTTTTTGACAATTTTCAAGGTTTTTCAAAGTTTTTAAACGTTTTTAACGGTTTTAGACGTTTCTCAATGTTTTCAACGTCTTTTATAAAATTTTCAGACGTTTTTCGACATTTTCCATGTTTTTCAACGTTTTTTTATATCATATTTAGACCTTTTTTAATGTTTTTTAACGTTTTTCAAGGATTTTCGAAGTTTTTCAACGTTTTTTAACGGTTTTAGAAGTTTTTTGATATTTCTCAATGTTTTCAACGTCTTTTTAACATTTTTAGACGTTTTTCGACATTTCCAATGTTTTTCAACGTTTTTTATATAATTTTTAGACGTTTTTTGACATTTTCAACGTTTTTTTTTTTACGTTTTCTAACGTTTTTTGAGGTTTTTTTTTTAACATTTTTTAACGGTTTTAGACGTTTTACGAGGTTTCTCAATATTTTCAACGTCTCTTATAACATTTTTAGACGTTTTTCGACATTTCCTATATTTTTTTATATCATTTTTTGACGTTTTTCAACGTTTTTTTTACGTTTTTCGACGTTTTTCTACGTTTTTCGACGTTTTTAACGGTTTTAGATGTTTCTCAATGTTTTCAACGTTTTTTATATCATTTTTAGACCTTTTTTTAATGTTTTTTTAACGTTTTTCAAGGATTTTCGAAGTTTTTCAACGTTGTTTAACGGTTTTAGACGTTTTTTGATATTTCTCAATGTTTTCAACGTCTTTTTAACATTTTTAGACATTTTTCGACATTTTCAATGTTTTTCAACGTTTTTTACATCGTTTTTAGAAGTTTTTTTAAACGTTTTTCACCGTTTTCTTAATGGTTTTCAACGTTTTTTAACATTTTTTTTATAACATTTTTAGACGTTTATCGACGTTTTCCAATTTTTTAACATTTTTAGATGCTTTTCAAGGTTTTTCCACGTTTTCAACGTTTTTCAACGGTTTTCGACGTTTCAAGAATCATTTTCTACCTCCAGTTTACTGTACTCAACCTTTTTTTTTTCTTTGGCTAAGACATTAAGAGCCTAAATTTTGGATTATATTACAAATAGTGCTGTTGAGGAATGCATTTATTATCACTATGATATTTCAAAATTTAAACCCCTTTGATTTTTACTTTCCTATCCTTTATATAACATTTTTAGACGTTTTTCAAGGTTTTTCGAGATTTTTTAACTGTTTTAGACGTTTTTCGACGTTTGTCAATGTTTTCAACGCCTTTTATAACATTTTTAGACGTTTTTTAACGTTTTTCGACGTTTTTAAAGGTTTTTTCGAGGGTTTTCAACGTTTTTTAACGGTTTTAGACGTTTCTCAATGTTTTCAACGTCTTTTATAACATTTTTAGACTTTTTTCAAAATTTCCAATGTTTTTCAACGTTTTTATATCATTTTTAGAACTTTTTCGACGTTTTTCAACGGTTTTTATAACGTTATCAAACGTTTTTCAAGCTTTTTCCACGTTTTTCGACGTTTTTACTTTTCTATCTGTATACAGATAAAGAAATATAGGCATCATGATTTTTTTCGACCTCCAGTTTTCGACGGATTTTTACGTTTTGGGGTCCCCTGAATCCGTTTGTGCCTGTTTGTATGTGTCTGTCTGTATATGTCTGTCTGTATGTGTCTGTCCGTGTCTCTCTGTGTTTGTCTGTGTCTGTCTGTATCTTCCAGGAAGGTCAAGGATCAGGGGATGATGAGATGTGACACTCAGAGAGCAAAGGGTAGTTATGGCCGACCAACAGAGAAGACCAAAGAAGACGCAACTTCTGCAGTGAAGCTAGCGCAAGGTTACCATATTATTGTAATTATTTTGGAAAATTTTTGTAAATTATTTACATTAAGGGTTTTAAAAAGAATTGAACAAGTAATTCCAAGTAGTAGTTGCTGTTTTGACGTTTAGAGAGTAAGTAAGTCTTATTATTTTAAATGAAAACTCAATAATTTATATATCCCAACTTTCGTTCTTTAGATTTATCAATTCAAAAAGTTAGAAGGTAGAGTGGACTGTATATTAATCAAAAAACAATCTATAATAAGATATATCACACTTTATTCTTAAAACATTTATACATATAAACATTTAAGTTTTACTTAAAAAGTGGTTCAGAAGCCCTGAGAAATTCCTCATGAAACTTCTCATTACTAAACCTTTCAGTAGAAGCCCTAGCTTTATCTCGAATTTCACTAATTTCCCCTTGATCTAGATGTAAAATAAATTTAATAATGTGCGCGAATTCATCAGGAGTTTGCGCTAAAAATCCCAGTCGCGATCCTTCCGAAGTTTCAATAATATCTAACAAAGGACCTCCAGAACGATGCGCTACCATTATTAATCCAGCCGCCATTTGCTCGACGACGCTGATACCGAAATGTTCATCTAACATCGTATGGATACCTATGTAAGAATTTTTAAATTCTTCAAATAACTCTCTATAAGACATGTTGACTTTGAATTCCACGTTGTTTTCAAGACTTAAATGTTTACTAAAGTCTTTTAAATCTTTAACTCGTCTGTTATCATCTGAATTTCTACAACTTCCACATAAAACCAATGTTATATTACTAAACATTTCTTCAGAAACTATTTCCCTAAGCTCATACAACGATTGTAGTTGTAGTGGATGATCTTTTTCAGGTCTAAATTGCGCTAAAGACATAATCCTAATGTTTTTAGGACGCGTTGGGTCCTTCTCAATGCTTTTCAATTGGTCCGTTTCGCAAGGTGGATAAACTAGATGAAGATTGCGATTCCAAAGAGTATTCAGATGTTCCAGAGTAAAAGTAGAATTGACTAGAGTTATATCGGAACTTTGGCCTGCCAAGGAATATGCCTAAAAAACGTTTGTAATATTTTAGGCGAAAGAAAGGCGAAAAGTGGGGAAAGAAGAGGATAGGAAGGATGAAGAAGAGGATAAAGGGGCAGGAAGAATGAAAAAGAGGAAAATGAAAGGTAGGAAGGAAGAAGAGGACAAAGAAAGGGGCAGGAAGGACGAGGAACAAGAGGAGGAAAAGCGTAAAAAAACAAATTATGAATGGTTTGCTATACATTCAAAAAAACTTCAAACAAGAGATCGGTAAGCTTAACATTCAAGTACATCTCTTAGCACAACAACAAGACAATTTAAAAATCAATTTAGAACAGCAAAAGAATTTAAAAACTAATCTAGAAGAACAAGAGAATTTAACAGCTAATTTAGAACAACAAGAAAAGGTTTAGAGTAAAAATCAAATTAGAAGTCCAACGAGAAATAATTACAGCAGATATGCCTGCTGGAACAGTTGGTTACTCACACCTAGCTGGTACCTCAAAAGGTTTGAAGAACGAGAGGAGCAGAGCAACAAGAGAATCTAGAGGAACAACAAGATAATTTTAACAGCTAATTTAGAACAAGAAAGGGCTAACGTACAACTCAAATTAGAAATCCAAGAAGAAATAATTACAGCAGATATGCCTGCTGAAGACGTTGGTTACCCACACCTATCTGGTACCTCAAAAGGTATGAAGAACATGAGGAGCTGGTTGAAGAAGTTAGTCTTCAGACAATCACTATCAAGGCAGAGGATAACGAAGACAAAATCATCCTTGAAAGCCTGAGAAAGACTCAAAAGGAAACACAATGAATTGAAGATTGTCCTAAAAAGGCTCAAAAATGACAAGAGATCGCCAAATTTAGTGGAACTATTAAAGGTTACTGGACTCGGTGGGATTCTCTGTATTTTCTCGATGGTCTAATGTACTGGAAGAGGGAAAGCCCCGATAGATACTGGGGCTATTCCTGCCGCAGACGTTGGTTACCCACACCTAGTTAGTACCTCAAAGGGTTTGAAGAACGAGAGGAGCTGGTGAAAGAAGTTAGTCTTCAAGCAATCACTATCAAACCAGAGGATAACGAAGACAAAATCATCATTGAAAGCCTGAGAAAGATTCAAAAGGAAACACAATGAATTGAAAATTGTCCTAAAAAGGCTCAAAAATGACAAGATATCGTCAACTATAGAGGAACTATTAAAGATTACTGGACTCAGTGGGATTCTCTGTATCTTCTAGATGATCTAATGCACTAGAAGTGGAAGAGCCCCGATAGACATTGGGACTATGCTTGCCGCAGACGTTGGTTACCCACACCTAGTTGGTACCTCAAAAGGTTTGAAGAACGAGAGGAGCTGGTTGAAGAAGTTAGTCTTCAAGCAATCACTATCAAGGCAGAGAATAACGAAGACAAAATCATCCTTGAAAGCCTGAGAAAGACTCAAAAGAAATGCAATGAATTGAAGGTTGTCCTAAAAAGGCTCAAAAATGACAAGAGATCGTCAAATATAGAGGAACTATTAAAGATTACTGGACTCAGTGGGATTCTCTGTATCTTCTAGATGGTCTAATGCACTAGAATTGGAAGAGCCCCGATAGACATTGGGACTATGCTTGCCGCAGACGTTGGTTACTCACACCTAGTTGGTACCTCAAAAGGTTTGAAGAACGAGAGGAGCAGAGCAACAAGAGAATTCAAAAACTAATCTAGAGGAACAACAAGATAATTTAACAGCTAATTTAGAACAAGAAAGGGCTAAAGTACAACTCAAATTAGAAATCCAAGAAGAAATAATTACAGCAGATATGCCTGCTGAAGAAGTTGGTTACCCACACCTATCTGGTACCTCAAAAGGTATGAAGAACATGAGGAGCTGGTGGAAGAAGTTAGTCTTCAGACAATCACTATCAAGGCAGAGGATAACGAAGACAAAATCATCCTTGAAAGCCTGAGAAAGACTCAAAAGGAAACACAATGAATTGAAGATTGTCCTAAAAAGGATCAAAAATGACAAGAGATCGTCAAATATAGAGGAACTATTAAAGATTACTGGACTCAGTGGGATTCTCTGTATCTTCTAGATGGTCTAATGCACTAGAAGTGGGAGAGTCCCGATAGACATTGGGACTATGCTTGCCGGTGTCGTTGGTTACTCACACCTAGTTGGTACCTCAAAACGTATGAAGAACGAGAAGAGCTGATTGAAGAAGTTAGTCTTCAAGCAATCCCTATCAAGCCTGAGAAAGACACAAAAGGAAATACAATGAATTGAAGGTTCTCCTAGAATAGATCGTCAAATATAATGAAACTATTAAAGGTTACTGGATTCAGTGACATTCTCTGTATCTTCTCGATGGTCTAATAAACCAGAATTGGGAGATGTTCATCTCTAAGAACCAAAAGGACTGGGGCACTTTAATTCCTCTTATTCCTGCTAGCCTACCGAAGTTCTGAACATGAATCTACTAGTTATAATCTATCTATGATGAGTACAGGAAGGAAGATAAAGCTTCCCCATGATCTAATTCTGGTGAAGAAGAGAGTCGTACACCTTCCAAATACATACAGAACTTAAAATAAAGATTAGAAAAGGTCTAGGAATTCGTTCTGGAACGTTTGAAAATCAACAGTGATGAAACAGAAGGTAGAATCGACATGCAAGCCACAGAAAGAGAGGCGAACCAGAAACTTCAACGGAACTGTGAAGATCCCTACACTGTCCTCAAGACAATCAACGACCTAATCTACTGCATTCAATTTGTGGAGTGTTCTAGAACGTTTCAGTTTTTTAGATACTACACCAAAGAATGTTGGAAATAAATTGGAATTGAAAACTGCTGGGTAGAAAGTATATTTGCTCTTAAAAGGTACAAATTCATAGGTAAATTATAAGTATCTTATTGACATAATACAAAATAATAATATAAAATAACAATCATAACAAGCTAAGTATAGTCTTTCTAGACTCAATCCAAAACAGGCTTTTGTACCGGGGGTGCGTAATAATTTTCGTTATAAACTACGCATTTATACTTTCACATTGCAAATAAGCGCGAATTATCGTGATATAGCACTGGTATGGCCCACTTAAATTTTAAACATCAATGCAACTGAAGTTGATGTAAAGTCCACAAGCGAGTGGTCACAGGATTTCTTAAAATTGTTGGCGCATCTGCGCCTGGCTGCCTTTCAATTGTTTTTTGTTCAGTAGCGTGCACAGTGAGAAAAATGTTCGCAGTTTCTCAAAGCGTTTGTTAAACTTGTTTTTATTTCTCGGTGTTTCTGTTAAATTTTGTTGGTTTTTTATAATTTTTTTCTGTTTATTTTTTGTTTTTGTTGTTTTTATAATTTTTTATTAATTTTTTCTTTGTTTTTTGTTTCTGTTGTTTTTTGTTTCTGTTGTTTTTTGTTTCTGTTCTTTGTTGCTGTTGTTTTTTGTTTCTGTTGTTTTCTGTTGTCTTTTGTCTCTAATCTGTTTTTATAATTTTTGTATTTTTTTTGTTTTTTGTAATTTTTTTATTTTTTGTTTTTCTGTTTCTCTTGTTTCAGTTGTTTTTTGTTTTTTTTTAAATTTTTTGTATTTTTTGTATTTTATTGTTTTTTTTTTGTTTCTGTTTTTCTTTTGTTTCTGTTGTTTGTTTCTGTTTTTTGTTTCTGTTGTTTTTTGTTTTCTGTTGTCTTTTGTCTCTAATCTGTTTTTATAATTTTTGTATTTTTTTTGTTTTTTGTAATTTTTTTATTTTTTGTTTTTCTGTTTCTCTTGTTTCAGTTGTTTTTTGTTTTTTTTTAATTTTTTGTTTCTGTTTTTCTTTTGTTTCTGTTTTTCTTTTGTTTCTGTTGTTTGTTTCTGTTTTTTGTTTGTTGTTTTTTATATTTTTATATTTTTTTTTGTCATTTGTTTTCTTTGTTTCTGTTATTTTTTGTAATTTTTTATTTTTTGTTTTTCTATTTTTTGTTTTTCTGTTTTTTGTTTCTGTTGTTTTTTGTTTGTTGTTCTTTTTATTTTTTTATTTTATTGTTTTTTATTTTTGTTGTTGTGTGGTGTGTGTTTCTGTTGTTTTCGTTTCTGTTTGTTTTTTGTTTCTGTTGTTTTTTGTTTCTGTTGTTTTTGTTTCTGTTGGTTTTGTTTCTGTTGGTTTTGTTTCTGTTGTTTTTGTTTTCTGTTATTTTTTGTTTTCTGTTGTTTTTTGTCTCTATTCTGTTTTTATAATTTTTGTATTTTTTTGTTTTTTATAATTTTTTTATTTTTTGTTTTTCTATTTTTTGTTTTTCTGTTTTTTGTTTCTGTTGTTCTTTTGTTTCTGTTGTTTTTTGTTTGTTGTTCTTTTTATTTTTTTATTTTATTGTTTTTTATTTTTGTTGTTGTGTGGTGTGTGTTTCTGTTGTTTTCGTTTCTGTTGTTTTTTGTTTCTGTTGTTTTTTGTTTCTGTTGTTTTTGTTTCTGTTGGTTTTGTTTCTGTTGTTTTTTGTTTTCTGTTATTTTTTGTTTTCTGTTGTTTTTTGTCTCTATTCTGTTTTTATAATTTTTGTATTTTTTTGTTTTTTATAATTTTTTTATTTTTTGTTTTTCTATTTTTTGTTTTTCTGTTTTTTGTTTCTGTTGTTCTTTTGTTTCTGTTGTTTTTTGTTTGTTGTTCTTTTTATTTTTTTATTTTATTGTTTTTTATTTTTGTTGTTGTGTGGTGTGTGTTTCTGTTGTTTTCGTTTCTGTTGTTTTTTGTTTCTGTTGTTTTTTGTTTCTGTTGTTTTTGTTTCTGTTGTTTTTGTTTCTGTTGGTTTTGTTTCTGTTGTTTTTTGTTTTCTGTTATTTTTTGTTTTCTGTTGTTTTTTGTCTCTATTCTGTTTTTATAATTTTTGTATTTTTTTGTTTTTTGTAATTTTTTTATTTTTTGTTTTTCTGTTTCTCTTGTTTCAGTTGTTTTATGTGTTGTTTTTTTTTTAATTTTTTGGTATTTTTTGTATTTTATTGTTTTTTTGTTTCTGTTGTTTGTTTCTGTTGTTTTTTATATTTTTATTTTTTGTCATGTTTTCTATATTTCTGTTGTTTTTTGTAATTTTTGTTTTCTGTTGTTTTTTTGTCTCTATTCTGTTTTTATAATTTTTGTATTTTTGTTTGTTTTTGTAATTTTGTTTATTTTTTGTTTTTCTGTTTTGTTTCTGTTGTTCTTTTGTTTTATTTTTTTTTGTATTTTATTGCTTTTTTATTTCTGTTGTGTGTTTCTGTTGTTTTTTGTTTCAGTTGTTTTTTGTTTCTATTGCTTGTTGCTTCTGTTTGTTCTTGTTTCTGTTGTTTGTTTTTTGTTTACTGTTTCTGTTGTTTTTTGTTTGTTTTTGTTTCTGTTGTTTTTTTATTTCTGTTGCTTTTTGTAATTTTTTTGTTTGTTTTTCGTTTCTTTTGTTTTGTTTTCTTTCGTTTGGTTTTTACGTTTGTTTTTTTGCTTTTTTTATTTTTGTTTTGTTTATTAGTTTGCTTTTTTGTAAATTTTATTAAAATTTTGTGAAAAAAACCAAAAACTAGTTTTTGTCAATTTCTGTGCTTATGATTCCTTCTATAATTGTTAAGATTTAAGATCAACATTTCATGTTTTTTATGATTGCTTTTTATGATTTTTTGTTTTTGATTTGTTTTCGTTTGTTAAGTTTGTTTTTTGTTGGTTTTTTTGATTGTTTTTGTGTTTTTGATTGTATATTTTTGTTTATTTTTTTGTTTGGTTTGTACATTTGTTTTTTTGTTGTTGGTTTTTTATTTTTGGTTTTTTTTTCTTATTTATTTTTTGTTTTTTTTGTTTGTTTTTTTGATTTATTTTGTTTTTGTTTTTTTATTTTTTTTTTCACCCTTTCAGAAATAGCACTAGAAATATAGTTTATTTAGATGAAACATGGTTCTTCACTCAAAATGAAGTATCTATGCCTATGACAGATCAGAAAAAATTATCAGTAAGGATTCGAAACAAGTTTTTATATACTGCAATTGATAATGAAAGAACTATACCCAATCAATAATTTAATTTATTTAATTTTAATAATAAAAACGCTACGCCCATGTGCGCACCTTTCAAGTCAGCGCTAATTGGTCATTATACCGTGTTGGATTGAGTCTAGAAAGACTGTAACTGCACAGGATCGACTCCAGCCCTAAACTCAGTTATCAGTGGGAATTAAACCCAAGGCAGTTCCCATTTTTTTTCTATGGACCATTTAAATCATCTGCACCACAATATATCGCAAAAATTTCTATAACCTATTATTATTTTTTGTATTATGTCAAATAATTACTAAAAATTTAAAACAGACAAAGATTTAATAACATTAAACTCACCCAAGCGAATATATGGTAATATATCAGCTTTCCCATAGTCAGAACAGGACTTCTGGCTATGATTCCTCTGTTATTGTAAAGAGATTGTCTATTTGACACCCTCTTTAACATTTCGTTGGTTATAATTGGATAGTGAATGTAGCAGGCCGTTTTACAACCTCCGATGTACTTGAATATGGGTAAAACAAAAGTAAAACCTGTTGTTTCTATAAAGATATCTAAAAAATAAACAAAGTGAAGATATAATAGTAGTTTGTGCAACAAGAAGAGTGGATATGATGGCCATATCGTACAGTAGCATAATTTATGACTTTTACTAATTTATAAAATCCTATGTGATTGTAATTTTAATATAATTTCAACAGTTGTTTTTAACATTGACTTGATGCGTGGCAATACATATAGTAGTAGATTAAAAAATTGTATTACTGATATGGGTTTGAAAAATATTGTTTAACAAGTTTGACAACTGTCCAATAATAACTCTTGTGATAACTAATTCTATAACTGTTTCATCACCAAAAATAAGTACACATTTTAATATTTTAATAAATCTAGACTGTTTGACACTAACTAAAGAACCACAATTAATTGAAAGAGGTAGAATTATCGATTTTGATAGTATTAATGAAAAATTAACTATTGTAAATTGACCGTCTCATTTAATTGAGACAGTCCTGATTTTACGATTTTGTCAGACTTAAAAATTATTTATAAATATTTCATTTAAACAGCCTAAAAATGCAATTTTTATAATGATGTGACAACATAATACAACATAATTTTGTATCTAGTACATCAAAAAGAGAAATATGTTTTTTAAGAAATTAAAAATTTATCCAAAACTAATATATCAGCGTTTAGTATTTGTTTTTTTTTGTTGTTTTTTTGTTTCTGTTAGTTTTGTATTTTTTTGTATCTGTTGTTTTTTGTTCCTGTTATTTTTTGTTTCTGATGTTTTTTTGTAATTTTTTGTATGTTTTTTGTATATTTTATTTTTTTTGTTTTTTTCACCCTTTTAGACATTCCTCTGCTCATACCATAATAGCAACATAATGCAACATAATTTTGACTCCGTTGCATCAAAAATAGAAATGTTTTGTAAAAAACTAAAAATTTAACCAAAACTAATTTATTAGGGTTCAGTTTTATTTAATAAATAATTGTTCTTTACTTTTTGTTTCTGTTGTTTTTTGTTTGTGTTGTTTTTTTGTAATCTTTTGTATATTTTGTTTTTTATTTGTTTCTGTTATTTTTTGCTACTTATTTTTTGTTTGTTATTTTTTTGTTTCTGTTATTTGTTTGTTTCTGTTATTGTTTTGTTTATTTTTATGTAATTTTTTGTATTTTTTATTTTAATTTTTTTGTTTTTTTTTTTGTTTTTTTCACCCTTTCAGATATCCCTCTGCTCATACCATAATACCAACATAATGCAACATCATTTTGTATCTAGTACATCAAAAATAGAAATGTATTGTAACAAACTAAAAATTAAACCAAAACTAATTTATTGTGGTTTAGTTTATTATTTGATAAATAATTGTTACACAGTCTTGTTTTTACTTGTTTTTATTTTTGTTTTTGGTTTCTGTTGTTCTTTTGTTTTTTGTTTGTTTCTGTTTTTTGTAATTTGTGTATTTTTTGTTTTCTTATTTGTTTGTTTTTTTGCTTGTTTTTTGTTTATTTTTATTTTTTTGTTTCTGTTATTGTTTTGTTTATTTTTTTGTAATTTGTTTTTTTTATTTTTTTTTATTTTTTTTGTTTTTTTGTCTTTTCGCCCTTTCAGACATCTCTCTGCTCATACCATAATACCAACATAATGCAACATAATTTTGTATCCAGTATATCAAAAACAAAAAATACATAAAAACAAAAAAAAACAAAAAGAAAAATATACAAAAATAAAAAATACAAAATAAAAAACGAAGAAAAAGCAAAAAAAAACAAACTAAAAATTTAACCAAAACTAATTTATTAGGGTTTAGTTTTATTATTTGATAAATAATTGTCACATTCTTGTTTCTTTATTTTTTTTTCGTTTTTTCTAATTTGTATTTTTTTTTGTTTATATTTGTATATTTTTGTGTATTTTTTGTTTTTGTGTATTTTTGTTTCTGTGTATTTTTTGTTTCTGTGTATTTTTGTTTTTGTGTATTTTTTGTATTTGTTGTTTTTTATTTTTTTTAATTTGGTGTCGACTACTAAGGCCTTAGCCTCGTGTTCTGTGTAGGCTTTGTTACTGTTTCCCAGTGCCACTTTAGGAACAGCACTGCTAATTAGAACCCAACAGTGAATGATCGAGTGGGGAATCCTGCCAAGGCATCAGAATTAATTTTAAATAATTAAAATTAAATAAAAAAATCCCGGCCAATGGTGAGATTCGAACCTGGGACTCTTGGATCCACAGGCACAGGCTCTATTTTTTCTATTCTATTTTTTTTAATTTTTTTTATTTTATTTTTTTTTATTTTTTCTATTTATTTTTTCTATTTTTCATTTTATTTTTTCTATTTTTTCAATTTTTTTCAATTATTTAAATTTTTTAAATTTTTTTTAAATTTTTTTAAATTTTTTAATTTTTTTAAATTTTTTAAATTTTTTTAATATTTTTTCAATTTTTTCAGTTTTTTCAATTTTTTTAATTTTTCAATTTTTTTCAATTTTTTTTAATTTTTTCAATTTTTTTTAATTTTTTCAATTTTTTCAATTTTTTCAATTTTTTCAATTTTTTCAATTTTTTCAATTTTTTCAATTTTTTCAATTTTTTCAATTTTTTCAATTTTTTCAATTTTTTCAATTTTTTAATTTTTTTTCTATTTTTTCAATTTTTAATTTTTTTAATTTTTTAAATTTTTTTAATTTTTTCAATTTTTTTCAATTTATTTTTTTCATTTTTCAATTTTTTCAATTTTTTTAATTTTTTTAATTTTTTTAATTTTTTCAATTTTTTTAATTTTTTTAATTTTTTTAATTTTTTTAATTTTTTCAATTTTTTTATTTTTTTCATTTTTTTTTTATTTTTTTAATTTTTTCAATTTTTTTCAATTTTTTAATTTTTTCATTTTTTTTCAATTTTTTTCAGTTTTTTTTCAATTTTTTTCAATTTTTTCTATTATTTCTATTTTTCAATTTTTTCTATTTTTTGTATTTTTTCTATTTTTTGTATTTTCTTATTTTTATATTTTTTAACCTTTCATACATCTCTCTTGTATATTTTTTGTTTTCTTGTTTTTGTTTTTTGTGTTGGTTTTTGTATTTTTTTATGTATTTTTGTTTATTTGTTGTATTTATGTATTTTTTATATTTTTTGGTTTTCTGTATTTTTATTTTTTTGTTTTCCTGTTTTTTTGTGTTTGTGATTTAATATTTGATAAATAATTGTTACACATTCTTGTTTCTTTCATTTTTTGTTGGCTTTTTGTATTTTATTTTTGTTCTCCTTTTTTTTTATTTTTTTATATTTATTTTTTGTTGATTTTTGTTTTTCTTGTTTTTTCTTTGAGTTTTTTATTTTCTTTTTGGTTTTTGTATTTTTATGTATTTTTTTTGTATTTCTTTTTTTATTAATAAAACTAAGTTTATCAGGAATATTAGGTATTACAATAAATTTACTAAAAATATGAATATTTCTATTAAAAATAAAATCATGAAGTCATAAAAAAATTAAATACCTGGAAATAGTAGTAGATCATATGTTCCTTTTTTAAAAATCATGCGAACTATATAGTCAAAACAGTAGCATTTAAAATCAACTACTTGTACCAGCACCTTCTAAAGGAGGCATAGAAAAGGTTGGAAACCTATGGTGTAGAATTATTGAAATATCATTGACATATTAAGAAAGGTGGCAATCACTTCTCTATAAGTATTTGTGATATAAAAATAAATGTATAAAAATGCTGAACATTGGGGATTCCAGTTATTATATCAGTTTGATATTAATTTTTCTAGGATAACTTTCAAAAATAATAATAATAAATTTTAATGTGAGAGCTCTCAAATTTTAACACTAGCAACATATCAGAGCTTAGAGATATTTTTATGAAAAAACAAAACTTATATACATCTTTAGTTTTGAGTAACAATATTATTATCATTTTTACCTCTGTATTTCTTTCGTTAATTTTCTTATTTATGCATTTTTATTAGGTTCTGTACTTGCCCTATTATTATTATAAACAGTCATTTTTACAACCAAAGTTTTGACTATCTATTTTCTATAAAATAACTTTAATTTATAAGATATTACTGTAATTATTGGGATTAATACCTTCCTACAATGTACAGCTGTGCACTATTCTATACGAAGATATTCAATGTAATCTATTATAGATTTAATCACCAAAAGTTTAAGGTTTGAGAATTTGTACAACTCACCTGGATTAAACAAGCTCAATGCTTCAAATCCTAAATATATAGACCCCAATGCTTGTCCCAGAAGTGTAAAATACGGATATTTATCAGCTTCAACCCATTTCCTTCTGTGTAGGTAAATAAATTTGACATCTTTGTCTAGTTTAACATTTAACCTATTTCTAACTTTGTCCAGTATTTCTACTGGTGTTACTTCTACATCTCCAGTGTACACATAATATTCAGCTTTAGGGTATCTTACAAATAAAAACAAAATTAATATATTAAGTTTGGAAATAAATGGTACTTACTTTTTCTGTAAAGCTTGAATTGCTACCCACAAAACTTTCTCACCGCCTCCACCTGCATTACAATAAGGGTGGAATATGCCCACCCTTAGTTTATTAGACAAATTTTTTAACTTATCCACCCTATATTTTCGTTTTAAGTAAAAATAATAAAGTGGTATAAGAATTCCAAAACCTAATATGGTAAATATCAGTGCTGCTAGTAGTAATTTTACTATAAAAAGTAGAAAACGTCTGAAAATTAAACATTCATTAATAATTCATTCTAAATTGAGTTTGTAACATTCTTACATCATCTTTAAAACGGCTCGCATTGTATAATTCGGTTATCAAAATCTCCTTAATTATATTTTACATATTTTAATACATATTACTCATTCTTCGATAAGGAAATTACTTACAATCGGATATATAATTAAAATCTCCCAATTTTATTTTAATTTGAAAAATATTTTGACTTTTGACGTAAAATATGACATATTTCATCTTCTTTATTCTTCTATGCCGTGCTTTTTACTATAAACCATAACAGTCAACTAGTTAACTTCTTCTTTTTGAAAACTGATCCAATGATATATATTATATAGATTGCTCATTCATATGAAAAACATCTTTATCGGCTATTCTCGAAATTTTCCTACAATAATAGACTCAGGGTGAGATTACAGAACGTCTACAAATTTAAAATAGAGGATATACAAACGAATTCACCAACTTGAATACGTTAAAATATTTATATCTCACCCTAGTTCGACCAATTCTCAATGTTTTCAACGTCTTTTATAATATTTTTAGACGTTTTTCGACATTTCCAATGTCTTTCAAAAATTTTTATATCATTTTTAGACGTTTTTTTTAACATTTTTCGAGGGTTTTAACAGTTTTAGACGTTTTTCGACATTTCTAATGTTTTTTATATCATTTTTAGACGCTTTTTGACATTTTTCGAGGTTTTTCAATGTCTATTAACGGTTTTAGACGTTTTTCGACGTTTCTCAATGTTTTCATGTCTTTTATAACATTTTTAGATGTTTTTCGACATTTCCAATGTTTTCAACGTTTTTTTATATAATTTTTAGACGCTTTTTGAGGTTTTTCAACGTTTATTAACGGTTTTAGACATTTTTTAATGTTTTCAACGTCTTTTATAATATTTTTAGACGTTTTTCAACGTTTTTATATAATTTTTAGACGTTTTTTGACGGTTTTCAAGGTTTTTTTTTTAATGTTTTTCAAAGTTTTTTGAGGTTTTTCAACGTTTTTTAATGGTTTTAGACGTTTTTCGACATTTCCAATGTTTTCAACCTTTTATATATGATTTTAGAAATTTTTTTGACGTTTTTTAACGGTTTTCGACGTTTTTCAACGGTTTTTTTTTATAACATTTTTAGACGTTTATCGACGTTTTCCGATTTTTTTATAACATTTTTAGATGCTTTTCGACGTTTTTTAACGTTTTTTTTTTTAACTGTTTTAGACGCTCTTCGACGTTTTTCAACGTTTTTTTATAACGTTTATCACTATGATATTTCAAAATTTAAACCCCTTTGATTTTTACTTTCCTATCCTTTATATAATATTTTTCGACGTTTTTTAAGGTTTTCGAGGTTTTTGAAAGGTTTTAAACTTTTTTCGACGTTTCTCAATGTTTTCAACGTTTTTTATATTTTTAGTCTTTTTTTGGCATTTCCAATATTTTTCAACGTTTTTTATATTATTTTTAGACGCTTTTTGACGTTTTTCGAGGTTTTTCAACGTTTTTTTAACAGTTTTAGACGTTTTTCAATGTTCTCAACGTCTTTTATAACATTTTTAAATGTTTTTCGACATTTCCAATGGTTTTCAACGTTTTTTATATCATTTTTAGACGCTTTTTGACGTTTTTCGAGGTTTTTTTTAACGTTTATTAACGGTTTTAGACGTTTTTCGACATTTCTCAATGTTTTCGACGTCTTTTATAACATTTTTAATGTTTTTCAACGTTTTTTATATAATGTTTAGACGTTTTTTGACGGTTTTCAAGGTTTTTTTAAACGTTTTTGAAAGTTTTTCGAGGTTTTTCAACGGTTTTAGAAGTTTTTCAACGTTTCTCAATGTTGTCAACATCTTTTATATAACTTTTAGACGTTTTTCAACATTTTAAATGTTTTTCAACGTTTTTATATCATTTTTAGACGTTTTTTTGACGGTTTTCAAGTTTTTTTTTTTTTAACGTTTTCACGGTTTTTCAACGTTTTTTAACGGTTTTAGACGTTTTTCGACATTTCCAATGTTTTCAACCTCTTTTATATCAGTTATTTTGTACAACCTATTGCAGCACCTCCATAAATGTTTAGAGGATAAACTAAATATAAACATTTTCCACATATATCTACCTCGAAACATTTTTCTATAGATATTTATTAAAAACGAAAATACTGAAAAATTAAAAATTTAGCATTTTTTGATAAGGAATTACTTTTAATCGAATATATAATTAAAATCTCCTAATTTTATTTTAATTTGAAAAATATTTTGACTTTTGACATAAAATATGACATATTTCATCTTCTTTATTCTTCTATGCCGTGCATTACCATAAATTATAATAGTCACTAGTTAACTTCTTCTTTTTTGAGGAAAGATCCAATGATATATAGTTATATAGATTGCTCATTCATATGAAAAACAATGAAAAAACACCTTTATCGTCTATTCTCGAAATTTCTCTACAATTATAGGCTCAGTCGTTTTTGACGATGTAGTTTTTAGACTATACAAAGGGTATAGTCATTCTAAACGTAGAGGCATCAAATAATTCGCAGAAAACTATTTATAGACTTGCAGATCTGCAAAGTTGCAGACGTTCTGTATGTGAAAATATCTAAAAAAGCAGATTTTGACTCGAAGTCATTAAGAGGCGTATATTGGATAATGTTTTAAAGTATATTGACGTGCGCATTTATCATTTTTTTATTTTTTATTAGTGAAAAGGTCAATTACAAATGAACTAATATGTTAATTATGACAAGTTAAAATTTAACATGAATTTACAGAATTATTTTTCACATATTTAACATACGTTTCATATTTTTAACGTTAAATTTCAAGATATTCCTTATAAAATTATCTCTATACATACATTTTTTTACATAAGGTTGCGCTATCTATATAACTATAGACATCATTGGTGAAAACTTAAAGCACTGTGGTTGTCACTTTTTATGTTGTGCTAGCACTGTCTGTCATCCGTCATTCATTTGATTTTTGATTTGTCATTTTAGTTTGAACTGTCAAAATAATTCAACTCATTCTGAAGTTGTTTAATGCAAAATTAGCCGACAAATCTTATCATAAATCATATTCTTGATAATTAATTAATATATTTGTTGAGTAATTAGCAACAATTCAAAATGGTAAGTCAGTTATTTATTTAATTATAAAAAATTATAAATTTGTTAGGTTATGTTTCACGATAAATATCTTTAAAATTACGATTTTTAGTCGATTCTAGCTTACAATGGAGGTGCTATGGTCGCAATGAAGGGTGAGAACTGCGTAGCTATAGCCGCCGATCGTCGATTCGGCATCCAAGCTCAAACCGTAGCAACAAATTTCGAAAAAGTATTTGAAATGGGCCCACATCTATTCGTCGGCCTTCCCGGTTTGGCTACAGACACCCAAACTGTCATGGAAAAGTTACGATTTCGTAAAAATCTTTACGAACTCAAAGAAAACAGACGTATTTCACCAAAAGTATTTGCTGCAATGATTTCAAATATGTTATACGAAAAGAGGTTTGGCCCCTTTTTCGTCGAACCGGTAGTTGCAGGATTAATGCCTGGAACTTTTGAGCCTTATATATGCAATATGGATCTTATTGGTTGTATTAATCAACCTACTGATTTTGTTGTTGGTGGTACTGCTTCCGCACAGTTGTATGGTATGTGTGAAGCTTTATGGGAACCTAATTTGGGACCTGACGATTTGTTTGAGACTATATCGCAAGCGCTGATGAATGCTTTCGATAGAGATGCTATTTCTGGTTGGGGAGCTACTGTTTATATAATGTAAGTAGGATTTTCTTATAATTTTGTTAATTGGATCTTTTATTTTGTAGTTTTATTAGAAATGTTTCATAATTTTGTTAATTATATAGTATACTCAAAAGTTTATTAAAAACAGAAAGTTATAGATCAACTCAAAGATAATATTCCTAGTTTCAATATAAATATTATTGCTTGTAAAAAGACAGCAAATGCTTTTAAATAGAATTAAATTACTTTAAATTCTACTTCATAGTATATCTGAAGGTTTATCAAAATTAAAAATGAAAAGTTATACATCAGATCAAAGATAATATTCCTAGTTTCAATATAAATATTATTGCTTGTAAAAAGACAGCAAATGCTTTTAAATAGAATTAAATTACTTTAAATTCTACTTCATAGTATTTCTGAAGGTTTATCAAAATTAAAAATGAAAAGTTATACATCAGATCAAAGATAATATTCCTAGTTTCAATATAAATATTATTGCTTGTAAAAAGACAGCAAATGCTTTTAAATAGAATTAAATTACTTTAAATTCTACTTCATAGTATTTCTGAAGGTTTATCAAAATTAAAAACAGAAAGTTATACATTAGGTCAAAGATAATATTCCTTGTTTCAATATATAAGATTCCAGTGCAGATATTATTGCTTGTAAGAGAGAAATATATAAATATTGCAATATTTAAATCACTTTTTAAGTTCTATTATATTTTTTTTATGCTTTTTTCTGTAGTTATTTGTGCATATTTTTGTTTTGCAGTGAAAAGGACAAGGTGACTGTTAAAAACTTGAAGACTCGTATGGATTAGATAATTTTTTTTACTTATATTAATTTGGTATTTATAAGATTGGATTAAAAATACAACCATTTTATATTAAGAATTTGTGTATTATTTATCTTATTCCTAATACAATTCTTTTTGATCTAAAAGTAACAGAGGTTGTAATGAAATTTGATATTTAGGTATGTCAACCATTGGAAATTTCTGTAATTGCAGTATTTTTGAAAATATATCATCAATAACACTAATAAGTTTGCAGTTATATTAGTTTCAGTAATTAACTCATTTAGGACAGCTGTATGGGATAGGGTTGTCAGGTGAGTAGTCAAAAACATCTAGCAAAAGAAAACTGACAAAAGTCTGAAATGAATGCAGTTGAGTTGTGTATTAACAAAGATAGGTAACATAATATAAGAAAGTTAAAAATTATAATTTAATAAAAATAACATAAAATTGTCATAAATGAATTTTTTGTAGTTTTGTGCATTTTATTATCGTTATTTTGTCAAAAGCAGATTTTTGTGGCATTTTGAAAAATCCATTCTTTATCTAGATGAACAAATTTATAAACAGATTTTTTTGTACTTGTGTATAACTTTAAAATTCTGATGTGTCTGACACATGGCCAGGGCTGCTGAGAGCCATGGTGGACCCTGGGGCATTTTTAAAAATAAAAAAAAAAAAATGTCAAGTAAAATCAGATCTTTTTTTAGTGAAATTAAAAAAAAAAGTCCTTGCCTTCTGTGACGAACTTCAAAAACAAAATAAAATGTCCTCAATTAAAGCTGCCGGGCCCCTCTTGTGCTGGGACCCCTGGAATTTGCTCAAAATAGTTTAAAATTTAGCGTTTTTCTCTTTATCCCTTTTTGAGTTTTTTTTTTTCAAAATTCTATACTTCCAATTTGTTTTAAATATCTTGAATATGGTCCATTTTAGAGAAATTATGTACAGAACAAAAATTATAGAGAATGACATTAGAAATAACTTTTATTTAAAGATTTTTTTTTTGGAAATAAATGTTTTTAATATTAAAAAAGCAACAATACTTTTCTTTTATAACATTTTTGACGCTTTTGGACGTTTTCAACGTTTTTATAAAAAAAAATTTGACGTTTTTCGACGTTTTGAACGGTTTTAGACGTTTTTCAATGTTTTTCAACGTTTTTTTTTATAACATTTTAGACGTTTTTCAACATTTTTACTGTTTTGGAAGTTATTAAATGTGTTTCAACGTTTTTTATAATATTTTTAGACATTTTTCGACGCATTACAGCGGTTTTCAACGTTCTAACATGTTTAGACGTTTTTAATGGTTTTACACGTTTTTCGACGTTTTGAACGGTTTTAGACGTTTTTCAACGTGTTTTTTATAACATTTTAGACGTTTTTCAACATTTTTACGGTTTCGGATGTTTTTAAACTTTTTTTATAATATTTTTCGACGCCTTCCAACGGTTTTTCACGTTTTTCGTTGTTTTTTAACAGTTTTAGACATTTTTGACGTTTTGAACGGTTTTAGACATTTTTCAACGTTTTTTATAACATTTTTTTTAAAACATTTTAGACGTTTATCAACATTTTTGCGGTTTTGGACGATTTTAAATGTTTTTTATAATATTTTTAGACATTTTTCGACGCATTCCAACGGTTTTCAACGTTTTAACATTTTTTAACGGTTTTTTAATGGTTTTACACGTTTTTCGTTGTTTTTCAACTTTTTTAACAGTTTTAGACATTTTTGACGTTTTTCGACGTTTTGAACGGTTTTCAATGTTTTTGAACTTTCTTAAAAAATTTTTTGTCGTTTTCCAACGTGTCAATGATTTTCAACATTTTTTAAATATTCTTAGACTTTTTTTTAACGGTTTTCAAGGTTTTTCGGCGTTTTTCAACGTTTTTTATAATATTTTTAGACGTTTTTATGACATTTTTCGATGCATTCCAACGGTTTTCAACGTTTTACCATTTTTAGACGTTTTTTAATGGTTTTACACGTTTTTCGTTATTTTTCAACTTTTTTAACAGTTTTAGACGTTTTTCAACGTGTTTATAACATTTTTAGACGTTTTTCGACGTTTTCCAACGGTTTTCAACGCGTTAATAACAATCTCACGTTTAAGGGATTGTATGAAACTTTGTTTCCCGATAGGGTTAGTTACTTAGTGTATTTTTTATACTCAAATATTTTTTTAATTGATACAAAATGAAAAATATACGGAAAATAAAGATTGTGAATAAGTTTGAAGATGAGGTTTGGAAATAAATTTTTTAATATTAAAAAAATCGATTTTTCTTTCTGACAGGATATTATATTGTCTAATTATTATTATATTACTAACCAGGTGTGGAATTCATCCATTTCGTACCCCTCATGCTCATCATGATGTATTTGGGGATAATCTGGATGCAATTTTGGTTCATGGGACTCTTCAGGCCGAGCTCTGTAGACGCCAAAAAGATCAGAGTGGGTCAGCAAGGAGCTGCGGTAGCTAAAAAGCTGATCAATCATCAGTTGGAACAGCTGGGACCGATGTCGTTCCATGAAGGCGCTATCGGAGTGTGTTTCTTGTTTTCGATATTGTTGTGGTTCTTCAGGAAGCCGCAATTTATGGATGGGCGGAGCTGATTACTAATCATAAGGTACAAATTTGATGGTGATCCAATGATTTATTTTAAAGGAAATACAAGAAAATTGATTGTTTGAACGATTAAAGTCGATTATTTGAAATAATCGATTATTTTTGTTTTTTAGAAAAATCGATTTATCGGTTAATCGGGTTTTTAACTAATCGATTATTTTCGATTTTTAAAGGAAATACGAAAACAATAGATTGTTTGATTATAATCGATAATTCGGTTACTTTTTTATGAAAATCGATTATCGGTTATAATTAATCGATTATTTTTAATTTTATTTTCGTTTTTCAAAGATAATGAAATAATATTTGAAAGTAAATATAAAAAAAATAAATTAATAAATCGATTGATTAAAATTAATCGATTTTTTTTTTGATTTTTCGATTTTTTTCGATGTTTTTTATCGATTTTTCGATATTTTCGATTTTTTTTCGATTTTTATCGATTTTTCGATTTGTTTTCGATTTTTTTTTTCGACTTTTCGATTTTTTATCGATTTTTCGATATTTTTTTTCGATTTTTATCGATTTTTCGATTTTTTTTCGATTTTTCGATTTTTTTTTTCGATTTTTTTCGATTTTTCGATTTTTTTTTCGATTTTTTTCGATTTTTTTTTCGATTTTTTTCGATTTTTTTTCGATTTTTTTTTACGATTTTTCGATTTTTTTTATCGATTTTTCGATATTTTTTTTCGATTTTTTTTCGATTTTTATCGATTTTTCAATTTTTTTTCGATTTTTCGATTTTTTTCGATTTTTTTATCGATTTTTCGATATTTTCGATTTTTATCGATTTTTCGATTTTTTTCGATTTGTTTTCGATTTTTTTTTTTTCGATTTTTCGATTTTTTTTTTCGATTTTTTATCGATTTTTCGATATTTTTTTCGATTTGTTTTCGATTTTTATCGATTTTTCGATTTTTTTTTTTCGATTTTTCGATTTTTTTTCGATTTGTTTTCGATTTTTCGATTTTTTTTTCGATTTTTTTTTTCGATTTTTTTCGATTTTTTTTTTATTTTTCGATTTTTTTTCGATTTTTTTTTTACGATTTTTCGATTTTTTTTATCGATTTTTCGATATTTTTTTTCGATTTGTTATCGATTTTTCGATATTTTTTTTCGATTTGTTATCGATTTTTTTTCGATTTTTCGATTTTTATCGATTTTTCAATTTTTTTCGATTTGTTTTCGATTTTTCGATTTTTTTTTTTTCGATATTTCGATTACCTATAAAGAATAATCAAAATACGAAAATGTAGTAAAAAACAAAGGGGCGAAAGAGGCGATCCAGACCTGATAATTGATATAGGCAACCAATAATGCACATGTGTAATTCTCGTTGTATTTTCTCCTAAAAAAACTTAATGTTCATCGCATAGCCTGTGCCATTTTTGATTAGGTCCATAAACGATTTATCAAAAAATAATTTATCGAGGAAAACACAATAACCGTTTAATGTATTTTATTCATAAGGCACTTTATAAAATCTTAACTACTAAAAAAATCGAAAAAATTAAAAAAATTAAAAAACCAAAAAAATCGAAAAAATCGAAAAAAAAAAAAAACGAAAAAATCGAAAAAATTAAATCGAAAAAATTAAATCGAAAAAATTAAATCGAAAAAAATAAAATTAAAAAAACCGAAAAAATCAAAAAAATAAAAAAAAAAAATTAAAAAATCGAAAAAAATAAAAAATTGAAAAAATTAAAAAATCAAAAAATTGAAAAAATTAAAAAATAAAAAAAAAAAAAAAACAAAAAATCGAAAAAAAAAAAAATTAAAAAAACCGAAAAATCGAAAAAATTAAAAAATCGAAAAAATTTTGTATAAAACAAACAGGAAAAACCAAAGAGACCGCTAAATCTAAAATCCTAACGGCTTACAACCGATAAAAATTTAATGATCATTTGATCTTATATGAAAAGAAAACCCAATAACTATTTAATGTATTTTATTCATAAGGCACTTTATAAAAGCTTAACTACTAATAAATAAATAGATTTAAAAAGTATAACAAAAAAAATTAAATACTGTATATATGCATAAAAATAATAATCCTGTCATCAACACGATTTAATACCTTAAATATATTTTATATCCCATCTATTTTCAAAAGAAAGTGTTAAATATTGTTATTAAATATTTAACACTCAATGATTTGAAATGAACAAAGCTGTCAAAGATATTAAATTAAAATATTATTAATATAATTAAGTACAAATTTTACCATTTTTTAAAGCCTAATCTAGACTTTATTCTAAGATCAAAAAAAAATCCTTAGTTGTTTAAAAATTTATCAATTTTTTACTAAATAAATAAAATTAACTACAACAAACACTAAATCTCAGACGAAATTGAATTTTCTTCGATTCCAATAGCCAATAAATAAAATAAAACAAATTTCTTTCGAGTAGATGTAGATTTTGTTGTGAAGATCATTTCGAGGTAAGTTAATTTCAAATT